ATCTCATTAAGGTCCTTCCCTCTTTTTTTTAAAACAAGACAAAATATATTGAATCAAAATACTCAACTAAAATTTGAACTAGGGACCTCATTCGTTCCAGTGGTGCAAAGATACTACTCAACTAGAATTTGAACTAGGGACCCATTCATTCCAGTGGTGCAAAGATACCACTAAACCAAGACATCGTTTGTGACTAAATGCGTCTGAATAAATTTAAAAACTATATGCGTTGTATGAATGCAAACAAAACAACATCGTTTAGGCCTTCTTCTTCACAGATTCGGACCCAAAAAAAAAAAAACATAACAGAACAGTGACCTGATTTTACATTTTCTCTTTTAACTTTTAAAAAAACGTATAAAATCAACTGTATGTCCAAAATTATGAAATTTATATCATTGGACTCGTAATGAGATGTAGAATTTTTCTGTTGTAAAAAATTTCCAGAAATATTAAACTTTTCAAAAAATATTTTCCGTCCTAAATTTTTTTTTTCCTAACTTATTCTCAACAATTCAACATTGAATGGTTCTGATACCACATGTAAGATTAACTTCATTATGTGAAAACCATCACACAAACAGGAACATTTATATTGAATCATTAAGAATTAAAATATTGGATTTACAGAAGCGTACTTGAATCCATAACAAAAAATATTAAAATATCTGAGTCTGAGTCTGAGGCTTTATGATCTTCCAGATCTACACTTGTTTTTTGTCTAAATTTCTATCCGACAATGAGAATCAGAAGAATAGAAAAACCGTTGTGTGATCTGGGGACCATGACCCCTATTTATAAACAATCGTGTCTGTTTATAAGCAGTCATGCTTGTTCGTAATTTTTATTTTAACCCACATAATAATAGAAATTACATTTGTCTCTATACATTAATGCCTACACTTTATAATATATTAGTTAAGGCCCCAGAACTTAAATTAATCACTTTAATTAGTCTAACTTTATTTGATAGCCTATAATTCACATTTATTTAATATAAAAGCCTATATATTTAAACTTACTCCAACAACCTAAACACAGAAGATAGTAACAGTGGACGGAGAACTCTNGGATCACTTGGTTCCTTGTTCATTGTCATTGTCTATAAATCTGATGGACGTGAGACTGCATTTAACAGCGTTGATGGAATGTGAAATGTACTGTTCCTTGCCATCGCCATTTAATTAGAAGCTTTCCATGTATGAAAAAACATATGTTTCTAAAGTTCAACTCATAGTCAACGAATGATGATTTGCCAATAGATCATACAGAATAAGCTTTGGACCTTTGCGAGTGGTGGCTGTCAAACAAAACACAATGAATCACCAAAAAATCATCAAAACTAATATATGTGTTATTGCTAATTTGCTATTGTCTTCTAAAATAATTTATGAATACTAACAGCTAAAGAGAATGCTCAGTGACCTTACAAAATGTTCGAATCTTAAAATTTTCTAAACGCTAGATTACAATGACAGATGAAAAAAAAGAGAGAACACATGCCAACCGCTGCTCGGGGCGAACACACACAGAAAAATCACCTCTATTCAACTTTTGAGAGAGTTATCGATTGCACTGCCATTTTTAGAATGTAAATTCTTTTTGACACAATAGATATATTGTCAAGATCATTAGATTTTCTCTGAAAACTTAATTTGAAAATGGGAGAGATGTGTTGACCAAAATACATAGAAAGAAGCTCAATGAAAAACGAAAGTGATTCCATGGAAATGTCTTGCCTAAAGAATTTTGAAAAATACTCTATCTCACGGTAAGATTGGAGAGCCTTGCATTTCATATATAGAAACAAAAGATAAGTGTCCCATGTTAATGGGTATGTACAGGCTAAAAAAAAAAGAGTAATATTACATTGACAAAATTTAGTACCCAAATGACATGACAGTTGATTATTTGAAGTTTTTATTTGAGCCCAAATGACAAAACACCAATCAAAGAAATCCAAATCAACTGTCATATCATTTTGGCCCCAAATTTAGTCCAAAAATTTGGTCAATCTAACATTACTGAACAAAAAAAAGATAAAAAGATAAGAATTATGAAAAGATAATGCTATCTAGTAACAAATCTGCAATCCTTCTGTATCTTCGTTAACATTGCCGTTGTAGGAGATCGCCAACCTCACTTACAGATGGAGGATTGGCTCAAGCAGACGGTAAAATGAGAAACTGACTTTATCTCATTGATATGCAGAGGAGAGATCAAAAAGAGATAGAGACGCGGGTTAAAGGGAGACTTGAAAAAGAGTGGATGTTAAGCGAGAAACGGGGGAGTATAACGTGAAAAAGGTAGATAGATAAGAATTTGGATCTGATAATTGTTATTTATTTTAAACTAAATTATCTTTTTGATTAATGATGAGGTATAATATATTATATCGGATTACGAAAGACTAATTGGGTGTAGCCATGTGAACTTTTGAATTTTTTTAAAAAATCAAAAATCTANTCAAATGACATGACAGTTGATTATTTGAAGTTTTTATTTGAGCCCAAATAACAAAACACCAATCAAAGAAATCCAAATCAACTGTCATATCATTTTGGCCCCAAATTTAGTCCAAAAATTTGGTCAATCTAACATTACTGAACAAAAAAAAGATAAAAAGATAAGAATTATGAAAAGATAATGCTATCTAGTAACAAATCTGCAATCCTTCTGTATCTTCGTTAACATTGCCGTTGTAGGAGATCGCCAACCTCACTTACAGATGGAGGATTGGCTCAAGCAGACGGTAAAATGAGAAACTGACTTTATCTCATTGATATGCAGAGGAGAGATCAAAAAGAGATAGAGACGCGGGTTAAAGGGAGACTTGAAAAAGAGTGGATGTTAAGCGAGAAACGGGGGAGTATAACGTGAAAAAGGTAGATAGATAAGAATTTGGATCTGATAATTGTTATTTATTTTAAACTAAATTATCTTTTTGATTAATGATGAGGTATAATATATTATATCGGATTACGAAAGACTAATTGGGTGTAGCCATGTGAACTTTTGAATTTTTTAAAAAAATCAAAAATCTAGAAAATTAGGATAGCTAGAATAGAGGCTTCTCTTTGTTTTCTTTAAAATATTTGATAAAATACATAAATATTTAATGACATAGTTAAATTAGTTGTAATCTCATGATTAATTACATTAGTTAAATTAGATATAATCTCATATTTATCATACTTAAATTGTTTGTATTGTAAATGAAGAGAAAAAGATTCATATATTAATTTTTGACACTGGAGATAATATTATATCAATGAAGTTGTCAATGTGTATTAATATTGGAGTTTTGGACAAAAGAATAATGATTTTATATTTCTTATTAAAAGTAACATGTATATTTAAAAGTTTTACAAATATAGAGATCTAGATGATATGTTAGAGGTTTGTTTGTTAAAGGGATATAATTGTAATCTGTATATTTAAATATAAAATGACATGTTAGTCGTTATAATTTTGTGTAAGGGTAAAATAGTGAATCAAAATTTTTTCATGTAAGATAATTTTATTAGTAATAAAAATAAAAATAAAATAAAATAATATATATAGAGAGAAGAGATGAGATAGTGTATTTAAAACGTCTAAACGATAAAAGAGATAGAGTTATATAAGAAATATGAGTGCTAGAATTAAGTTCAATTATAATTGTTGAATCAAAATTTAAGAGATGATCTGAACAGTCTTATATGTTGAGATTATGTTATCCATTAGATGTATTTATATTTTGTCTTAAAACGATATGGACCTCTCTTTGTCTTATGGATTCAAACTTCGTTCTACTTTATTATATANATATCAATGAAGTTGTCAATGTGTATTAATATTGGAGTTTTGGACAAAAGAATAATGTTTTTATATTTCTTATTAAAAGTAACATGTATATTTAAAAGTTTTACAAATATAGAGATCTAGATGATATGTTAGAGGTTTGTTTGTTAAAGGGATATAATTGTAATCAGTATATTTAAATATAAAATGACATGTTAGTCGTTATAATTTTGTGTAAGGGTAAAATAGTGAATCAAAATTTTTTCATGTAAGATAATTTTATTAATAATAAAAATAAAAATAAAATAAAAAAAATATATAGAGAGAGAAGAGATGAGATAGTGTATTTAAAACGTCTAAGCGATAAAAGAGATAGAGTTATATAAGAGATATGAGTGCTAGAATTAAGTTCAATTATAATTGTTGAATTAAAATTTAAGAGATGATCTGAACAGTCTTATATGTTGAGATTATGTTATCCATTGGATGTATTTATGTTTTGTCTCAAAACGATATGGACTTCTCTTCTCTTTCCATGTTTTAAATAGACTTTTTATTTTTATAAATTAAAAGGAATGTGCCAACAAATTATTAGAAAAAAAGTCAAGGATAAAGTGTTTATGGTTAAACTTGTTAATCATGTTGAGTGAAATATGTTTGTTCTGTGTCTTAATAGAATCGTGTCAAAAAGTACTCCAACTATACCCGTTTTATTTATTATTCGAGTCTAAATAGTTGTATTATATCGATTTTGTATTGTGTATCAATCGTTTATAACCCATATATAAACAAGTTATATTGTGTATTTTTTATTTTATTGATTTTATACATACTCAATTCGTTTACAAAATAAATAGTTTAGAAAAAACTAAAAATCTCTAATTTTGTACTATATTTGTGCCATGTTAACGAGTATGTCATGTCATATTTTCACACATCTAATTCTTATGAGTTCAAATCTATAATTTAGCAAAAAAAAAAAACACAAGAGAAATTCACCCACAAGCCTTGTTTTCCTCATTTTGCAAAATATCACTGTCTTGGCAGCAGTATTTAGTCTAGAAGTCAGGCGGGTGGGTCCTAATTCTCATGGTCTAATAACATTAATTTCGCTTTCATAATCAATAATCCAGTAAGATTTGATGTTTCTTACGTAATTGCTTACTATCAACCTCAATTATTTTGAAAAATCAATACGAATCTGCTACAACCCACACAATCCTACTGCAAGCCTGTCTTATCCGAACTAGCCTTTACCCATTTGAACTATTTCTCATTCCCATTATACCCTTCCATTGCCCCTACAAATAGAAGGGCTTTGGTTCTGGAGAGAGAGTGAGCAAGAGCTAAGCTTAAAAGTATATAACAATGGTGGGAGGCGAAGAAGTGAGGAACAAACAGGTGATATTTAGAGACTATGTCAGTGGTTTTCCCAAGGAATCTGATATGTACATTACCACAGACAAGACCTTACATTTGAAGGTCCCTGAAGCCTCAAATGGTGTTTTGGTGAAGAATCTCTACTTGTCTAGTGACCCTTACATGCGTCTTCGCATGCAAAAACATGGGGTCGACCTTGATGGTTTCTTAGCTTCCTACACCCCCGGTTCTGTATGTCTCTCTCTCTCTCTCTCTCTCTCTCTCTCTCTCTCTCTCTCTCTCGGATTTATTATTTGAATCCTTCAATTATGTCTTTCTTCTCACCTTGCTTGTTCAAATTTCAACCATTACGTATAACAATATTAGTTGTTATTTTTATACTATCTCAATTATAGATATTAAAAACGTGTATTTTACTCTAAAGGACGATTTGAAAAAACCCAATGGTTGAGGGGGTCCAATATAATTTAGGATAAAATGCACTTTTAGATTTCAAAGTATGCTTTTAATGTTTATTTGGTCTGTAATCTTTCAATTATATGTATTTGGGCCCTAAAATTTTTGATAGACATTTGAAATTGAACCGCCTAAATATAAATTAGACCAAATAGACAATTAAAAGATTATAGACTAAAAAAACACTCCATGCATACTCCCTCTGCTCGGTGTGTTGTACGGGACCCATTTCCCTTTAATTTATTATTTATTAAAAGGGTTAAATAGTTTGCAGTGTTGTGGGATAGACTCCCTCTGCTCTTAGTTTTTAATTGATTGATTAAGACTTGCAGGTGCTAAGTGGATACGGAGTTTGTAAAGTGGTGGATTCGGGGCACCCAGATTTCAAAAGGGGTGAATTAGTTTGGGGAATAACAGGATGGGAAGAGTACACCCTCATTACGTCACCTGAAGCCCTTTTCAAAATTCAACACACCGATGTTCCCCTTTCCTACTACGCAGGACTTCTTGGTACGTTTGTTTAAGAATTTGCAGATTAATTCGTACGGATAACCTAGTGGTAAACTAAACGTGATTTCATACATCTTAGGTTTGATTTTCGTTGTGATTTATAGTTTAATCAATATTTGTGATTATCAGATAATTATAAATATTCGGTGTTTACTTTCTAGGGGTGTGTTTAATGTCATTATACTTTGAAAAGATTTCTCATCACTTGAAAATATAGTAAATTATTGACGGGACATTTTTAGAAGGTTATGAGATTAATGACACGTGTCCTCGGTCCCGAGGGACTTCCTTCTCCCGGTGACGTATCCTCGACCTCAGTATCCCCCCTGTCCCGACAGATGAATGATTTGGTTTTATGGCATTCTCCCTTGATTTCGAGGGAATCACTTGCCACCAATCTACTCACTGATTTCTGGAGAAGCCAGTGACTGACAACTAGACTGGCCTAGGCTAGGCTAATAATAATGAAGACACTCTGCACAGTGGAGTTAGTATGACAGGATAAACTGAACATTCAACCAAAGAGAGCCAGATGCGTGGCATAAAGCACAAGGTAAAGAGTGAAAAGACGAACTTGCCCCTGCTGAGATGTGACTAATAGAGACAGACATTTAATGCATTGTCAGTTAATAAGACATCTAACATGACTTGATAAGCCAAGAAGCAAAAAAATTAAATGCTCTAGGATCCGAGCATTCAATGCCTCAATATTGAAGAAAGAGCATTGAATGCCCAACAGTGCGAGCAATTAAAACGGGACCATTCCCCATGAAAAGTATAGGGCACACTGTCCCATCTCTGAAGACTACCTAATGACTAGACTGTCAGCAATGATTAGCTCTTAAAGGTATCAATAACCCTAAAAAACACATTGTAAAGGTACGCAAAATGGTCTCTCAAGAACCCCAAACAATGTTTAATTATTCCCCTCTCTCAAAGAACTGACTTGATCGTTGGAAGGAATACGTTGAAAAATACTCCGGTGCCCTTCTAACCGGTTTTCTGTGTTCTAGGGATTCCCTGTGAATCATCGGGATCAGTTCGACATCACCAGGAGCAATTCATCACCAATCCTTAGGCCCCCTTTGGCCCTCTCAACCTATTCTTTGTTTCTGGATCCACCATTCCGACGAGTCGAATTTCACTGTTGGAGAGATCTGTCCTCATTTCAACTACTGTGCGGAAATCGCCCAGCACAATTATGTATTTAGTTTTTAAATTATGATCCCCGTGTCAATTAAGTTCTTGAAATTTTTTCTGAGTCAATTAAGTCCCTAAACTATCTAATTGTTTCAATCAAATCCTTCCGTTAAGGTTTCTAATTAGGGGCATTTTAGACAATTCAATTAAAGACATGAGGAAATTATATATTTGGCCTTCAAATTATGACCATTGTGTCAATGAAGCCCCTAAATTTTGTTTTGAATCAATTGAACCCCTAAATTATTTAATAGTTAAAAAAGACAATAATGCTACAAATGATTAAAAAAGACATAATAATGCTACACGATCTAAATTTGTAACCTAAATTTGCATCTCAAATCAACAATGATGGTTAGATCAGTGGGTTCCAATAACTGTTTATGACGGGATTCACTGATGCATCTATCCTTGTTGATTTAAAATGCAAATTTGAGTTATAAATTTAGAAAACAAAGTACTTTTCAAAAAGACGAAAATGTCGAGTGATGCCCTAGTTTATGTTGTCAATGAGAAATTAAGAAGATTTGAAGTCAAATTACTAAGCTTTGCTATCATTTCAAGTTGTTTACATATATGCTTACATAATTAGGGCCCAGCCACCACATAATAATAAGAATAAATAGTCCATTGGAATAAGTTTACGATACCATAGAGATACCATATTGATAATTGATTTAAAGTAGTTGATTCTAGTTTAGTTACAATTTATAACCATTAATTAAAAAATAAATATATGGGTCATAGTTTAGGGACTTAATTGACTAAAAAAAATTTAAGGACTTAATTGATACAAGGGCCATAGTTTGAGAGCCAAATACATAATTTACTCATGTCTTTAATGGGAGTCGCCTAAAACCCCCTTGAAGAAGTCAAGTAACTAGCACACTCCACACCCTTCCATTAGAAATCCTAACATAACAAGGACTTGATTGAAACAATTAGATAATTTAGGGGCTTCATTGACATAAATGTCATAGTTTTAGAGCCAAATACGTAATTTACTCAAAAAAATATTTACAAGTTAGTTTTGAATCTGTTTTTTAGGCCAACGAAGAAAAAAACATATGCCATTAACCACAAACCACAAACCACATCACAATCTAATGCAATTTCCTTGCGTGGAATGCATATAGGTGGAAGTAACATTCATTACAATTTTTTTTCTCAATTTTCTTCAATGGTTATTAACCTATCATGAATTCAAGTAAGATATAATATATATATGTGAGATTTCTCTTTATAAATGATGAATGATCTACCATTAAGTAGAATTGAGATTAAGTATATTGGAAGGGATCTTGATTCCATATATGTGTGTTTGGATTTCACACATTCAATAATGATGACTTAGACGGCTTAGATGATTTGGCCGAGTCACGTGAGACTTATGGTTTACCCAAAACGTATGATTGTATCAGAATGAAAGATGCCGATAGTCTTGGCTGATATTTTGAAACATGTATCTAATATCTGGTGATTTTTTTTTCCTTTCAAGGTATGCCTGGTCTGACTGCTTATGTTGGATTTTATGAGATTTGTACTCCAAAGAAAGGAGAGAAAGTATTTGTTTCTGCAGCATCTGGTGCAGTTGGCCAGGTTGTTGGGCAATTTGCAAAACTGATGGGTTGCTATATTGTTGGTAGTGCTGGAAGCAAAGAAAAAGTGAGTTAACCCTCATTAACTTAACCAAAAAATTGTATGTGTGTCCTATCTCAGGTTGTTCCGCCCACGTTTCTCATACTGAACCTTCAACTACATTTATTAGTTTCATAGTATTGCCCCCACAAACTACCCCTATTTTAGACAACAGAAAAAATGGTATTTACCTTCATATGTAGACATTTCCTGTTCATGTTGGAATTGGCTTTGGGGTAATAATGTTAAATCAATTTAATTATTTGAGAGAATATTAGAATAATGGGATAAATCCAATGGTTAAGGGATTATTACAATCCAGATCCCCTTAATACACTTTTCCTTTAATTTCCTTCTTTGCACATCATCCACTATTAATGAGTGAGAGACTCACTATTGATGAGTGAGGGATCTACTTGTATATAATGAGCTTAACTTCAATGGATGATAGATAGATGATGTGCGCCAAGAAGGAAATTGAGGATAAAGTGTATTAGAGTAAATCTCACTCTAAGTTATTGTTAAAGAGACCAATTTTTTATCCAAAAAATGGAGTATTTGGTTGTCTTGTGAAGTCTTTTGTTGTTTGTATGATTTGACTCTGGGAGAAACAATAGGGAAAATGATATTTGTACCTGATCTGTAAATCTAATCAGGAGATATAGTTTAATGCAACAATTGTACTGAAAGTGTGTTTCAGTAAACGTTAGAACTCACGATAAGATACACATGACTTGTCATAGACCTTTAAATTGACAAGAAAAATATACCCAGAAAGTTAAAAGTTTAGTAGGAAGAGGGCATTGGATGACTTTATTCTAAACGCTAATTATCATATTTATTTGGCTTTAAATTCTGGATAAGGTTGACCTGTTGAAGAACAAGTTTGGGTTTGATGATGCTTTCAATTATAAGGAAGAGCATGACTTGGATGCAGCTTTGAAGAGGTAAGTTTTATCATTAACAGAAGCATAGTGTAGTTGAAAGTATCACTTTTTGGTGGGGTGTCAATTTTATCCATTAATACGAATCCGAGTCGACACAAAACTCAAAAATAACACAATTAATTAACACGAGTAATAAATGAGGCAAATTAAGATTTGACACGAATAACACGATTAACGGATACTGTAAATAGAAAATAAGTATTTAACGAGTACTGTAAACAAAAAATAAGAATTTTTTAATTAGTATTATATGAGTTATTATGAAATTAATAATTTTTTATTTGACATGAATATTGATATGAACCTGATAAAACAATTGAAAGTGACACGATACGAAAATGACACGACACGACATGATTGATCCTTCTACTTTTTGGGGTTTATTTTGGTTTTGTTATGGAGTCCTCTAGCTTCCAGCTTAATATTTTTTATAGGATTGTCAATGGGTGTTTTAAAGCTATATAAGACATGTCATGTTAACTTCTAGTTCAACACATACCCAACAGATTTTTTATCTTGGTATTGTGTGGGATTCATATCGTATTCAATTGAGTTTATGTTGACTTGTTTTTGATATGTTTAGTAGGTCCATCCGAACCCACTTATTCCGTGTTAATTTTGTGTTGGATTAATAGATGGTGTTTAGAATTACCGTTCCTTATTCCACAGTAACCAACCCCCCCATTGTTGGGATAATTAGAACATTTGCTTCCACCCCCAAAAAAAAAAAAAAAAAAAAATTATAACATTGCTTGAACTCTGAATACAAATACAATACCATTGATATCTGATTGCCACCAGGTACTTCCCGGAAGGTATTGACATTTACTTTGAGAATGTTGGGGGAAAGATGCTAGATGCAGTACTCCTCAATATGAAAATTCATGGTCGGATTGCTATGTGTGGAATGATCTCCCAATACAACAATATCCACGAACCTGAAGGAGTAACCAACTTGATATATCTCATCTACAATCGAGTTCGAATGCAAGGATTTGAGGTTTTCGATTATTATCACCTCTATTCCAAGTTTTTGGAGACTGTACTGCCTTACATCAGAGAACGAAAGATAACATATGTGGAAGACATTACTGAAGGCCTTGAGAGCGGCCCTGCGGCTCTTGTAGGTCTTTTTAGTGGCTTGAACATTGGAAAACGGGTGGTTGTAGTTGCTCGTGAATGATTCAAGTTTCATGCTGGTGATTATGTAGTAGGAGGGTCAGTTGAGTCGGGTTATTTTTGTGCCTATGTGCGTTGTTAATTGTATTACTTTTAAATCGTGTTGCTTCTATTCATGTCAATATTTTTGGACATTGTACTGTGTTAGATGAGAGAATAAATGATAATATCAAGAAACAAATATAACGCCCCAAAATCTCTCTTGGACGACATTATTATTTAAAAACCGTTCAAATCATGAGAACAACTAAATGAACTTCATAACTAAAGAGAATTTCATTCATCATCCACAATATATACAACATCATCCAAAATAATATGTCCAACTATGACAATTACATTCCAAAAATCAACCATTATCTTGCAACGGAATAACAAAAATATTAGATTTCACATTGTCTCAAAATGAATTTTCTAGTCTAGAAAATAAGAGAATATACCTTTAAGCGTCAACATCGGGATCCAAGTTCCCATCTATTGGAGCTTCCCAATGTATCGGCTCATCAACTCCGAGCTCCTCCTCTAGACCATAATCTGAAAAAGATATTGTTTATAAGGGGTGAGCACTAAGCTCTATAGGAAAATCCTCTCAAACTCGAACAAGGTTTCAAAAGCATATAAAACGGTCGGTCTCATTTTACAAATATCATATATAGTTTTTGAAGGAAAACAGAGACATTTCAATGGATCTCAAATTTACACAATAGCAATAATTAAATGAAAAAGTAAAACCAATTCCCCAAAATAACAATTTCCAACAAATTATCATTTCCACAATAACCAACTTCACAACAAACCAATTCCATCATAAACTCCTATCCACAATAAACCATAACCAACCATATGCACAATAAACAATAGCCCACAATGTATATCAAATCACAACTTGTATTTGTATTTGTACTTGTATCTCAGGTATGATGTATGACATCGCATGAATAAACACATCGAGAATATCCTGGCTCACACATACACACCCAATCCTTGCAAGGATATCCAACTTTTAGGACAGGCGTATACCAACTCATTGACAGTGACGAATCCAACCCAAGAATAGTATACTAACCCTCAGCCTCGGTACCACGTAAGCAAATAGTGGTTTGGTCCTCGCAAGGCACCAACCCCACTATGAGTGGTAGGAAAAATTCAAACCTGCACGGAATAAGAAACGCATTTACCCACTCTATGATACTCGGTCAATGGCCACCCATGGTCATTCAAACATCCACAAGAGATACAATACCCAACCAATTTCTCAAATCCCAAGTAAAATCTAAAATTTTCAGATTTCATATGTATTATTCCAATAGAACAATTTAAGAAAATATACAAGAGATCATCAAAAATATTATTTTATTGTTCAATACCAAGTGCTAGAGTTTTTAAATAAAGAACAAAGAAAAAATCAAGAGAAAAATCAATTTCTCTTGAAAAACTAGGTTTTGATGTCAAAACAAGGGTTTTTATGGCTTTCAACCCATAACTTCACTCAAAACATGAGAAGATTTGCAAGAACATCAAGAAATAATGATTTCATACCATATATCTAAGATTTATAAGCAAAACATACATAGATATAAACCCTAGCCTCAATGGACAAGAGTGGGAAGAAACCCCTGCCTTCTTCTTTAGTTTTATGTGAAGAACTTGAGATTTGATCCACTTCAATATGAAAATCTTCCTTGATCTTGCGTTTTTCTCGTTAATTCTTCCTCTCTATCACTTCATAGGGTTAGAAATGTTGAAATGGGGCTAAAGGAGGCGTCCTTATGTATTTATAAGAGGTCAAATGGTCCCCTGTGCGCGAATCTGAAACTCAGAATCCGTAACTCACGTTCGAACGTCATTTGGCGGTCGAACGTCAATAGTGCAATTTCCTATTTTACGTTCGAACTTCACTTTGGCATTCAAACGATGGTTGCTCCTAGTACTTTTGCATTTCCATTAGAGCTCTACAGACACCAAAGTATTGGAACTTACTGTCATTCGAACGTGTATTCATGTTCGAATGTCCTCCCAGTTTTTGCTAAAACTTCCAGTGAAGTTTTGGTCTGTTTAAAGATCGATTTGAAAAATTTTTGTGAAATACTCTTTTGTATCCCTAAAAGTCTACTATCTAATATAAAAATTTCAGATCAAATGGATGTCAAGGTAAAAAGTTATGATCCAAACACTATACAGTTTTTAATATCCTTTTTACCCAAATTTTATATAAAATGTGTTTGAACTCCAGAATACTTCCTAACTTCTAATTCATACCCTATTACCTCAACTAACATTTTTATTTCTACTCTTACAATCTACATAGTTCATGCATACATCATCACATATATTAATATTTCAAAACATAATTATGTTACTATATAAAGATAAAAATGTGGGAATTTACAAAAAATGTTTATAGTTGCTCGTGAATGATTCCCACTTCATCAACTGATGATGGATTCAGTTCTTCTATGTGTTTTGAGTTACATTTGTGAATACAGATGATGTAAATCGATTTGCATAGTACTATCATCGTGTTGTATTATGTGAGGCATATCATTTTTGGGTTTGCAACATTTAAGTATTTGTCAATTTAAGAAATAAAAAAGAGAGAGAGAGAAATATTAGATAAAGAAAGATACATCGAGGTTATACAGGGAGTCTATCCTTACCAAAGGGAAGGATTCATAACTTGTATCTTTCTTTTTGAGTTATATTCTATTTTGTTTTGTCATTTTTATGTGGATTGTATTGTGTTGTTCTTTCAAATTTTGTATCTAAAATAGTAATCAATCGTTGTGTTGGGGGACTGGGGAGTCCATTATCTAAGACTCAATACATATATTTGTAATTCATACCCACCTATAAATTTAAGCTTATAGCTGTGAGCCCTACAGTAGTATATTAGGACATTTTAACTTATTTTTTTATTCGATGTGAGATTCCCCACATATATAATATCCGACAATCTCACCCTCATGTGTGAACCACTTCGGGTTTAGTTTTCCCTTAAATCTGATCCACTATTCTCTACAAGCATTGCATCCACCTATTCTTTTACAAGAGTCCGCTCTTCTTAGAACTAAACTTTTTCGGGCTCTATGAGTTATTGTATTACCATTCTACGAAGAGTTCTTGTGCTCTGGCTCATGCCCTACTCTTTTTCCAAGTTCAGTTTCCACGTCTTCAAATACCAAGAGCCCACCATTTTTTTCTTCCCTACTCTTTTTTCAAGTTGCGTTTCCATGACTTCAAATACCAAGAGCCCACCACTTTTCTTAAAAGTTATCATCAGTATCAGCACGTTACACCCCTTCCCAAGAATTTACCCAAGATCGTCAGCCATCGACTCTAATAGTATTTTGTTAGAGAACTAGGGAGCCTATTGATCTAAGGCCCAATACACATGTCTAGAACTTATACCCATNTGTCTTGTCAAACGTATGAAAAATTTGAGAAGTATTGGTTGGAGTATAGCGTGATATTGGCTATTACAATTGTGTTTGATCCTCGCTATAAACTTGACTTCGTGGAGTGGTGCTATAAGAAGCTTTTTGGTGAAGGCTCTCTTGAGTATTTTCATGTTCGAGACAAAAATTTTTCTCAGTTTGATGAGTATATGAGCAAATCTGTTGTCGCATCTNACTTTTTTCTCAGTTTGATGAGTATACGAGCAAATCTGTTGTCGCCTCTTCTTCTCAATCATCAATAGTTCCTTGTGATGGTCTAGTTGCTTATGAGCCAATTTTGAATCCAGAACCTGTATTAGATTTGACGATAATTTTTTTTCATTGAGAGCAATGCATCTAGTCTTAAAACACAAAAAATTCAATTGCAATTGTATTTGGATGAGCTTAGGGTTGCCTTAAAAACATAACTTCTTGCTCTTGATTATTGGAGAGCTCATCAGTATAGTTATCCGGAACTTGTTGTTATGGCTAGTGATATGTTAACTATTTCAATTTCTATGGTTTCTTTGATATCAACTTTNAGTATAGTTATCAGGAACTTGTTATGGCTAGTGATATGTTAACTATTTCAATTTCTATGGTTTCTTTGAAATCAACTTTTAATATTGGTGGTCAGGTTTTTGACCAATACTGTAGTGCTTTCAAGCCTCACGTTGTGGAGGCTTTTATGTGCACTAGGGATTGTTATATGCAAAAAAAGTTAATAAATATAACATGTGATGACTGCGATATTTAATTATTTTCATAAATATTGAATTCTTATTTATATGCTTTCTTTATTGTCATTTATAAAATTCATAAGTACAATTGGAAGAGCTTGTAGAAGATGTTATAAATTCGACTTTGAACAAAAATGAGGCTACGTTGGTGCAACGTTCAAATGTGGTTGTGGATCTTGATTGTTGATGTGTGTGAGTCATNAGAGCTTGTAGAAGATGTTATAAATCCTACTTTGAACAAAAATGAGGCTACGTTGGTGCAACGTTCAAATGTGGTTATGGATCTTGATTGTTGATGTGTGTGAGTCATAAAACCTAACTCTTCTTCTCAATCTTGTGTTTGTTTTTATTTTTTGTCACAATAACCATTCCATCTCTATTCGAGTTAAAAGCTTAATATGTTTTTTGGTAGGATGTTGGCTAGATTTAGGAGATGAATAGCATTTGAAAGATATTTGTAATATTGTTTTGGGATATTTGTAACGCTTTTGGAATATTTGTATTTATTTTGGGATATTTGTAATGCTTTGGATATTTATTTTTTGGAATTTTTAATGCTTTGGAGATTTGTATTTTGGGATTTTTAATGTTGTGAAGATTTGTATTTGTTTTGGGATATTTGTAATGGTTTTAATGCATTTTTTTTGTAAAAACAGGTCTAAATATTTTCTTTTTTTGTTGGGTTGTGTCAGGTTGGGTTATGTCGGTTGGGTCATGTTAGGCGAGTTGGTTCATGCTTACCTGAACATGACTTGTATAAATCTCGGGTCATGGGTCATGTCAGGTTAGTCACGTTTCGAGTCAAGTCATGGTCATGTCTAGGTGACTTAACCCGTTTAACTCGCAGGTCGTGTTTGGGATGATATGTCTTCAACCTGGATACCACAAGACACGACCCAGACACGATACAACACGACACGACATAACACGATTGCCACCCTAAAAATTTGGCATACATTAATTTTGTTGAGTCTGCAAATAATAAGTCATTTTTGTCTCTATAGAAGAGAAACCCTATATTACAAGACATGTTTACTACGAT